GTTTATGATTAGAAGATAGTGAAATGGGGGTTTATGATTAGAATGAATAGTAAGATAGGTGTTTATGTTAGAATGAATAGTGAGATAGGTGTTTATGATTGGAATAAATAGTGAGATAGGGGTTTATGATTAGAATAAATAGATTGGGGTTCATGGTTAGAATGAATAGTGAGATAGGGGTTTATGATTAGAATAAATAGTGAAATGGGGTTTATGATTACAATAAATAGTGAAATGGAGTTTATGATTACCGGTAGAATAAATAGTGAGATAGGTGTTTATGATTAGAATGGATAGTGAAATGGGGGTTTATGATTAGAATGAATAGTAAGATAGGTGTTTATGTTAGAATGAATTGTGAGATAGGTGTTTATGTTTAGAATAAATAGTGAGATAGGGGTTAATGATTAGAATAAATAGTGAGATAGGGGTTTATGATTAGAATGAATAGCGAGATAGGGGGTTTATGATTAGAATGTATAGTGAGATAGGGAGTTTATGATTAGAATGAATAGTGAGATAGGGGGTTTATGATTAGAATAAATAGTGAGATAGGGGTTTATGATTAGAATGAATAGTGAGATGGGGTTTATGATTAGAATAAATAGTGAGATAGGGGGTTTATGAATAGAGTAAACAGTGAGATAGGGGTTTATGATTAGAATAAATAGATTGGGGTTTATGGTTAGAATAAATAGTGAGATGGGGGTTTATGATTAGAATAAATAGTGAGATAGGAAGTTTATGATTAGAATGAATAGTGAGATAGGTGTTTATGTTCAGATTCAATAATGAGATAGGGGGTTTATGTTTAGAATAAATAGTGAGATAGGTGTTTATGTTTAGAATCAATAGTGAGATGGGGGTTTACGTTACAATAAATAGTGAGATAGAGGGTTTATGCGAGAATGAATAATGGGATGGGGGTTTATGATTAGAATGAATAGTGAAATAGGGGGTTTATGATTAGAATATATAGTGAGATAGGGGGTTTATGATTAGAATGAATAGTGAAATAGGGGGTTTATGATTAGAATATATAGTGAGATAGGGGGTTTATGATTAGAATGAATAGTAAGATAGGTGTTTATGTTAGAATGAATAGTGAGATAGGTGTTTATGATTGGAATAAATAGTGAGATAGGGGTTTATGATTAGAATAAATAGATTGGGGTTCATGGTTAGAATGAATAGTGAGATAGGGGGTATATGATTAGAGTAAACAGTGAGATAGGGGTTTATGATTAGAATAAATAGATTGGGGTTCATGGTTAGAATAAATAGTGAAATGGAGTTTATGATTACCGGTAGAATAAATAGTGAGATAGGTGTTTATGATTAGAATGGATAGTGAAATGGGGGTTTATGATTAGAATGAATAGTAAGATAGGTGTTTATGTTAGAATGAATAGTGAGATAGGTGTTTATTTTTAGAATAAATAGTGAGATAGGGGTTTATGATTAGAATAAATAGTGAGATAGGGGTTTATGATGAGAATGAATAGTGAGATAGGGGGTTTATGATTAGAATAAATAGTGAGATAGGGGGTTTATGATTAGAATAAATAGATTGGGGTTTATGGTTAGAATAAATAGTGAGATGGGGGTTTATGATTAGAATAAATAGTGAGATAGGAAGTTTATGATTAGAATGAATAGTGAGATGAGGTTTATGATTAGAATAAATAGTGAGATAGGGGTTTATGATTAGAATGAATAGTGAGATAGGGGGTTTATGATTAGAATGAATAGCGAGATAGGAGGTTTATGATTAGAATGTATAGTGAGATAGGGAGTTTATGATTAGAATGAATAGTGAGATAGGGGGTTTATGATTAGAATGAATAGTGAGATGGGGTTTATGATTAGAATAAATAGTGAGATAGGAAGTTTATGATTAGAATGAATAGTGAGATGGGGTTTATGATTAAAATAAATAGTGAGATAGG